AGTTGATCCATGTCTCTCTTGTACTGGGGACCCCAGAGCTGGACACAGTACTCCAGGTGGGGTCTCACCAGAGGAGAGTAGAGGGGCAGAATCACCTCCCTTGACCTGCTGGCCAACACTTCTTTTGTTGCAGCCCAGGGTACGATTGGCCTTCTGGGCTGCAAGCGCACACTGCCGGCTCATGTCTAGTTTTTCATCCACCAGTACCCCCAAGTCCTTCTCGGCAGGACCGCTCTCAATCCATTCCTCCCTCGGTCTGTATTGATACTGGGGATTGCCCCGACCCAGGTGCAGGACCGCTCTCAATCCATTCCTCCCTTGGTCTGTATTGATACTGGGGATTGCCCTGACCCGGGTGCAGGACCTTGCACTTGACCTTGCTGAACTTCATGAGCATGTACATCTGCTATTGGCTGCTTTGGGGGCCAGGATGCTTGACCTTGTGGACCTTTGGTTGGACTCAGTATAGATGTTCTTAGTCCTTGACTCAACTAAGTATTGCTCATTGGCCTAACCTCTCTTTCTTCTAGGTAGCTGGTTGTCATGGTTTAACTTCAGTCGGCAACTGAGCACCACGCAGCCGCTCGCTCACTCCCCCCCCACCCCCCGGTGGGATGGGGGAGAGAATTGGAAGAGCATAAGTGAGAAAAACTCGTGGGTTGAGATAAAAACAGTTTAATAATTGAAATAAAATGATAATAATAATAATATGATAATAATAATAATACACAAAGCAAGTGATGCACAGTGCAATTGCTCACCACCCGCTGACCAATGCCCAGCCAGTCCCCGAGCAGCGGCCCCCCCCGGCCAGCTTTCCCCAGTTTATGTACTGAGCATGACGTCACATGGTATGGAATGTCCCTTTGGCCAGTTTGGCTGTGCCCCCCTCTGAGCTTCTTGTGCACCTCCAGCCTTCTCAGTCAGTAGAGCATGGAAAACTAAAAAGTCCTTGGCTAGTGTAAGCATTACCTAGCAACAACTAAAACATCGGTGAGTTATCAACTTTGTTCTCCTCCTAAATCCAAAACACAGCACTGTACCAGCTACTAGGAAGGAAATTAACTCTATCCCTGCCGAAACCAGAACACTGGTGATTACCTCTTCTTTCAGTCCCTCTGTGGAGTACGTTCTACTTCCACACTGAAGGTCTGAACTGTGCTTAAGATGTCATAGTACACTGCTCATCTGTCCTTTTTTCTCCCTAGGCTTATGGCATTGTATGGAAAGCAATCGATCGCAGGACAGGAGAAATAGTTGCTGTTAAAAAGATTTTTGATGCTTTCAGGAACAGAACAGATGCTCAGGTGAGAAATCATTGTTCTAACATGTCCTGAAAGATGTGGTGGGAGTTCATAGATATTTTCAGGATTTATGTCTCTGAAAGATGTTAGTTATTGACAATTATGTACATAATAATACAGTCTACAGCTATATTAGGATAAAAAGGAGTGATAAATATCAAGCTTTGTATATCATGGCATCTACAAAATACTGTTTGATGTCCCTGAGGAAAAACTATCTTCATAGGCATGCACAATTTGATTCTCCCTTATGTTGTTATGCTATAGTGTCTAACCACAGAGTGCACACTTGTGACTCTCTAGTGAGCGACTGCGTTTTTCCTAGCCTGTCTACCATATAAGTGTTTCCTCTGCTTTAGAGATTAGAGTGGATTTAACCCTCTCATTGGAAGTCCATACTCTGTTCTGTCATTCTGTTGAGGTGATAATAAACTTTTTTTGTTTATTTCTAGAGAACATTTCGAGAGATTATGTTCCTGCAGGTAACGTCCATTTTTCCCCCTCCTCTCTGATTTTTAATTATCTCTGATGTTGTTCACATATTTTCTTCCCATTCTTTTTCAAAATGCAATGATCAGTGTTGACAACTCTATTAATTTCTTTTCTGCACCATCTTGGCAAACAGTCTTTCCATGACTGGGTAAACACACCTGAATGAAATGGAGAGTTGGTCTTGTTTTTTCTTTGAGACATGCCCTGTTCTTTCACCATTTTTAGCAGTATGTCTACTCTAGGATCACCATATTGACTTGCACTTTCTGTCACTTCTTTCTTCTTTGTGGACAGAAAGTGTTTTTCTTGAATTTTAATGCCATGATTCAGAGGTGGGGCTGGGGTGTGGAAGAGATTTACATGCCAGAATTTTTTTCCTCCATCATGTGGGAAGCAACTTGGCCACTTGAAATAATCAAAGCAAAACTAAAAAGGAAGTTCTGTATGGAATTACTTAAGGCTGCTCTTGTTTTGATATAATTGACCACACACTATGCCTAATTACTTTATCAGTGGCAGTGGCATTAAAATTATCTGTCCATTCCTCCACAGACTTAGCATGTAGAAACATCAATGTTTTTGAATAGTGATAATGTTGTTGTAACTATGATTTTCTGAGGACACAAGCAAGGCAGGGCTCATATGAAGAGGTATTTCCTAAGACTGTCAAGTTTAAGTAGGAGAGAGATGAGGTTTTTTTCCTTTTTAATCATTCTTTAAGCCTGAAATAGAAGCCACAAACTTAAGAGCTAAAAACATATGAGAAAAATTCCTTAGAAGTTAATTACCTGTAAGTTAGATCATCTCTGAAAGTATAGCACTTCTGGAGTAGATGGGTGGAGGAGGAGTTGGGAGAAGAAAAAGAAGGATATTTCTTCTGAAGGAAAGAACGGGTCATTCTGAGGGAGGGAGGTTAATGTGCCATTAAGCCCTTACTTTCATGACTTTTGGTGCTCAATAGACTCCCCCTCCTATTTTTGAAGGTATTTTATAGCTCTTTCTTGAGGTTCAGGACTGAGAGATCAGAAAGGGAAAGACATAAGAAATATTCTTTCATTGGTAACTGGATGTTTGTCTTAATTTGCTTGTCTGTGCAAATTCCTTCCTGTGCATGATTGCTTAGTTTAATCTGTGTGTTTATCATAAGGGCATTTGATGGACTGGATGAAGTTTATTGTAATTGAGAAGTGTTGATGTAGAATCTGGGCATTTTGATGATTCTCTTCTGGGTGATACGTAGTATGCTGGTCATTATGCTGCTTGCAGGTTTTCTGTTTATTGTTCAGTATCGTTGTAGATCTATTTGGTGCATTTTGGGCCACATTTTAGAATGTCATTTTTGGTAATTATTTTAGTGAGAGCATTGTTCTTTAAGCAAAGATAAGTAGGACTGGCTCTGACAAGATTTTTTTTCAAGGTAGGATTTTTTTTAGTATAGATTGAAACTTTTTCATAACTTTCCATTATCAGTTCCAGGGCAATACAGTGTGAGACAATGGGGTTTTCCTTCAGTGTGAAGTAAGTTCTTAAACGGTACTCAAGTAACACTGTCAAGACTGATCTGCATCTCTAGAAAATATTCCTTTTGGGTAAAAACTTTGTTTAGATTATTTGGATGGGTATTCTGAATATTGTCCTCAGAATAAATGCAAAGGTATTTGATGGCCTGGCTGTATATTGCTGCTTTGTAAGTGTATTTTCATGGGTTGCTGCAGGTGAGTGTGTTGGTTTGTGGATTTTTCTAGATGTTGTACATTATAACCAATTTTTGTCTTTGCCTCAGAGTCTAGGAAGATGATGCTGTTGTAAGACTGTGCTGGAGATAGCTTAATACTATGATTTTTGATACTGTTTATAACTGAATTTGTTATGGAAATAGATAAAGAGTCTATATTACTGGTTCAAATAACAAAAAATTCAGTTATGTATTTTAGATACAAGCGTAGGTTTTATGATGCAGCTATTTACAATTTTATACTCAGGGTAGTTCATGAAAATGTTGGCATATTGTGAAGTGTTCTCTAGCTGCGCAGAAGTGTTAGCTATAGGAAATAAAAGTTGTTAAGACTGAGGATTGAGTAAATGATCTTGACAGTATTGTCAGTCTGCAAATGTGAGGATAGAATTCACTTCCAGTTTAAGATACCTGTATTTAGGTATCTCTTTGTATGCTGACTGTCTGATCTCCCATTACAGTCAGTTCAATCAATGCAGCCTGCAGAGTGTTTCAGCATACCCTCAAATAGACACTTTCTGGTTGGTTGGGTTTTTTAATTATGAATATTGATGGCAACTTTGTTCTATTTTCACTGCCACAATAATTCTTTGCCTTCAGTAGGAAATACGCGGTGCATAAAGTTGACTGGATTTTATTCACAAATGGTATAGAGGGATTTTTAGAACTAATGTCTCAGACAATAGAGATTTTCCTTTTTTTTTAGATTAACTGGCTGGTTTCATACTGTGGAGCAAGCTTAAATCCTTTTATTTATTTCAGTAGAAGCATAATGAAGGAAATAGCATGTTAATGTTTGTTCTAGACAATAATACAAAATTAAATAGGCTATTGTCTGTTTTTATGACTTACAAGCAAGACACTTGATTTTGACTGTTGGGTCTTTTCCCTCTGGAGGAATTTGGAGAACATCCAAATATCATCAAGCTGCTTGATGTTATCCGAGCTCAGAACGACAAGGACATCTACCTCATCTTTGAGTCCATGGGTGAGACTTAGCATTGCATCAGCCATTTAAATACAGCCTCTCTTATGACTTATCTTTGTTCCCTACTTTGATAGTAGTGTGTTGATGATTTACGTGAATATTCATGTAAGCAGACATATAAGTAGGAGCAGTACAGGGGTTTTTATATATATATATATATATCAGTTGTGATGAGATGGGAATAGCAGTGAAATTTTAAAGGGAGTAATAATTATATGAGAACTGGCTGGTGGAGATGAAGGAAAGACAGCAGTGAGCAACCAATTGGAAGGCTTGTAGAGACAGAAGAGTTGCATATGGAAGAGACTATGTGCAATTTTATTATAACAAAGTATGCAATAATAGAACAGTTACCGTAGCATGAGCTGCAAGTCAAACTGATAATACAGAGAGATGGCAGTACTATTAGTAATTACAGTATTAACTTCTGTTGAGGATGCACTTGAAAGATTACAGTTTGAACAATGGTCTATTCTGGCCTTGCTTTGAGGAACTTATATTCACAACTTGATAATCCTTTACTGATGTAAATATATTACTGATGTGATATATTACAGAGACAGATTTACATGCTGTGATTAAGAAGGGGAATTTGCTGAAAGATATCCACAAGTGTTACATTCTCTACCAACTCCTGAAGGCAACTAAATTCATCCACTCAGGAAATGTTATTCACAGAGATCAGAAGGTATATTTCAGTCATAGTCTTTATCCTTCGCTCAAGTTTTCTGTTAAACACTAAACGGAAAAGTATGAAAAGAATGAGACTAGTAGAAGAACCTTGATAATAATCTTCTGCCATTCAAAGAGTAAAAAGCTTATTAATTTTCCTTTGTTTAATTTAGCCTTCAAATATCTTGCTGGATGCAGACTGCTTTGTTAAACTTTGTGATTTTGGGCTGGCCCGTTCTTTATGTCAGATGACTGAGGACCAAGGCAACCCTGCTCTAACGGAATACGTGGCAACACGCTGGTACCGAGCCCCCGAGATCTTACTTTCCTCTCGGAGGTAACTGCTTAATATGAGCAAAGGGATGGGATTCTATAATTTCTTCACCACTGGAAAAATTTATTGTCTAAAAGTCTTAAATCTTTTCATTTTAGATGTCACCAGATGTAATGTCATGTCAGCAGTCCATTTTCTCAATATGCATTTAAACTTCAGTTCTGCAACATAAAAATCTCTCATTACATGTACATTTCCTTCCTGGCTTCTTAGATTGTCCATTTACATACATTATCAGCTCATCTGTTTGTCATCCTTTCTCCCGCTAGACTTATGCTTTCTCCCCTTAAATCTGCATCTTTACAAAATTTGGTTGAGTACCTTAGTCCTCTTTTCCAAATTTAACAAGAATTTTTTGATAGACCTTCAGAAAATATTCTGCAATCAAAAGTTAAATGAGCTGCCTGTTAGTCAGGCCTAGTCCTTTTTTTGACTTAAATATACAAAATCTTATTGATCAGTGTCCTGGTTTCAGCTGGGATAGAGTTAATTTTCTTCCTAGTGGCTGGTATAGTGCTGTGTTTTGGATTCAGTATGAGAATAATGTCGATAACACACTGATGTTTTGCTAATTGCTAAGCAGTGCTTACACTAGTCAAGGACTTTTCAGCTTCTCATGCCCTGCCAGCAAGAAGCTGGTAGGGGGCACAGCCAGGACAGCTGACCCAAACTGGCTAAAGGGATATTCCATACCATATGATGTCATGCTCAATATATAAACTGGGGACAGTCAGTGGGGGGAGGGGTGACCGCTGCTCGGGAACTGGCTGGGCGTCGGTCAGCAGGTGGTGAGAAATTGCATTGTGCATCACTTGTTTTGTATGTATTTTTTTTTCTAATTGCAATTATTAAACTGTTTTTATCTCAACCCACGAGTTCTGGGGTGGGGAAGGAGCAAACAGCTGTGTGGTGTTTAGCTGCCTGCCAGGTTAAACCACAACAATCAGAAAAGAAAATAAATATAGGCTGGGTTAGTATCACAAATTTGAAATGTGTATGTTTTGCAAACTGTCATTTACCCATTGTTTGGCATTTACTTTGCTTAAGTAATTGGAACTACTTTCTAGATGCCCTGAAAAGTCAGTTGTTTCCAAACAGCAATTTGTATCTTCACTGTTGGTCATATGAAAAGTATGTATTACCTTGTCCTGGCATTTACCTTTAATATATTTCCTTTTATGGTTTCCTAGAATAGACTTTTAGTAGGATAAATCTCCTTTCTGCTTTATGCTTGCCAGTTTCATGATTCCTGAATCTCGTTCACGTTATAGTTAAAACCTGTGAGCGTTCGTATTCAAGGAGTCATCAAGCTTTTTTTTCTAGAAAAATAAGCTAATGTAGATGATGTGAATACCAGGTACAGAAAAACATTTGCTTGATTTAGTCCTAACTCTGTTCTATTCTTATTTGTAGTTACACTAAAGGTGTAGACATGTGGAGCATTGGCTGTATTCTGGGAGAGCTGCTACTTGGGAAACCTCTTTTTCCTGGAACATCAACAGTGAATCAAATAGAGCAGATCTTGAGGGTCATTCCTGCCCCATCCCCGGAAGGTAGGACTCTTCTATGGGGAAAGGTATTTAGAGAAGAGATTAAAAGAGTGAAAGAAAGCAGCCCAGCTGGATCAGGGAAGAAGGTCTCTCTTGTGAGTCATTCTAACATCTTTCCAAGGAAATTAAAGACTTAATTGTGAAATGTTAGCGTTAGAGGAAAATAAGCCGTACTTGATTAGATGAGAAACAAGAACCAGGCCTTCAAAACATGTTTGAGATTTATAAGAGGATAACAGTTTAAAACAGAGTATCATACTTCAGTGGGACTTGCATAGTAAAGGTAAATTGGACTTTGTAGTCCGGAAATCTAAACACAGAAGTGAAAGCTGGAGTAAATATATGTTAAATCCAAAAGGGGGGATGATGATGATGATTATTATTATCTTCTATGAGTTCCAGTCTAACAGCCCATACACTTTATAAACTTTTACATGTTGATATGTTCTAACTGAGCTAGCAAATAGTTTTTAGAAAAATAACTACCTTCAGTTTAAGGACATCACAGTTTTGGAGAATTCCATTCCAGCTTAGTTATTTATAGTTTTTATTAGAGATTTGGTTGCTGTGAATGAAATATGAATGGAAATGTGTGCGTGAAAACACCAAAACAGGAGTTAGAAGAATAGCCAGCACTAATCACAAAAATGCTATTCCATTCTCAGCAATACAATTGAGAAATGTGTTGATAATGTCATAACCAGAAGGTCTGCACTCTAAGACAAGACCACAGGACAAATGACTCATTAGCAGAAGGTCCTGTATCCTTACCACAGGACAATGGCTGCACGGTTGCAGCATGTCACAGGCACAATTTCTTTTTCTTTTAGCCAAACAAGTGAAAACAGACACTTGTTCAAAACATTATTGCTAACAAGGAAAACCAACCTATGAGCAGCAACTTTGCCTAGGATTTATGGGGACCAAAGCAGCAAGATTCTGAAGCAAAAAAACATTCCATAGCAACTGTTGACTCTTTGAGAGTATGACAGATATGTTCAGAAAACAGTTCATCGTCACCAATCAGAAAGAACCCCAGTGGATGTGATGAGGAAATCAATAGCTGGTATCCCTTGTTCTCTGTGTCCCATGCAAGTGATCCTGGCCAGATCATTTGGCCTCAGATATCTTGGTGCTTCTGCATATGTGGGTATAAGAGTACAAGTTTATGAAATCTATGATAGAATTTACAGGAATTGAGAAAATCAGCTTAGAAAATTTGTAAGTAAATATTCCATCCCACTTCCATAAGATCTCCCATTGAGTTTTATTAGGATAATTTCCTATGTTAATATCAAATATTTGCTTTCCTTCATAAACTGCATAGCTCTGGTAATCCTAATCTTGGCATTAACAATATCTTTTCATTATTGCAGATATTTTGGGTATGCAATCAGATTACAGGTCCTCAGTTATTAACCGCATGAGTTCCCGGTAAGCCTTGTATTTTCAATGTTGACTTCTGAGACACAATCTACTGTATGATGTTGACAAAAAGTTCCCCTGAAGTTCACCTCCCAATGTTCACCAGTGGAAATGATTTCTGCTCTCTGCAGATTCACCTACCTCCAGGGAAGGGACGTAAAGTTTAAAAAAAAAAAAAAGATGAGAAGACCAATGACATAATCTAGGAATAACAAAACAAAATGAGGTTGGCCCTATATTCCAAGCTATTGTCATGTGTACTTTCTCAAAATTAGAATATTTTCCTATCCTGAGTCATTTGGGTATCTGATGTCATTGGTTTACACATGGAAAGCCTGAATCTATTCAGGCTGACAGCCTCATTCCAGCTGCTTAACGACTCTCACTGTGATTATTTTTTTTTTTTTAATTTTTTTTTTTTCCTTATATCTGTCATGGTTCATTTGGATCCTCCAGTTATGTACACAGACTACCACATAATTCTGCATTTATTACGTGTCTAATTAGTAAACATTAGTAAACTTTATGCTATCTTACGGCCATAGCAAATTACTCGCCAGTCTCTACGTATTCTCTACTCATATCTGTCATGATACTAGTGGGCATCCCTTCTCATCGGGGAGTCTGCAATACGCATAGCCCAGCTATGTGTGGTATGAGTTCTCTGAATGCTTACTGATATGTTTTTATAGGTTTAGGTTAGGGTGGCTCAAACCATAAGCCATGTTCATGTTCACATGAACAGCATATGCGTTTTCATGCTGACTTTTGCTGACCTCTTCAGTTGGCATCCTGGAGCATTATTTCCTTTCATTCAGAAATGCCAGGATTCCTGTATCAATCTATGCCAGGTAGTTGAGGAACTGAGACCCTTTTGTCCCTGCTGATTCTGCTGTCAGCACAGCATGTGTGTTTGACCTTGTCAGGGGGAAGTGGATGGCCACAGTATCCCATAGGAATTTCCCTTGATGCAACTTGTGAATGTTGCTTCTCATCCTTCTGCTGTGCACCTGTACTGTGTTTGGTTGGAATTGAGTTAATTTCCTTCATAGCAGCTCGTATGCTGCTGTGTTTTATATTTGTGACCAAAACAGTGTTGATAACACAGCAGTGTTTCAGCTGTTGCTTAACAATGCTTGCACAGCAGCCATCAAAGCCGTCTCTGTTTCTCACTCTGCCCCGACAGCGAGTAGGCTAAGGGTTGGCAAGAGGCTGGGAGGGGACACAGCTGGGACAGCTGACCCTCACTACAAGAAGGACATCGAGGTGCTGGAGCGTGTCCAGAGAAGGGCAGCGAGGCTGGTGAGGGGTCTAGAGCACAAGTCTTATGAGGAGCGGCTGAGGGAACTGGGGTTGTTTAGCCTGCAGAAAAGGAGGCTGAGGGGAGACCTCATCGCTCTCTACAACTACCTGAAAGGAGGTTGTAGCGAGGTGGGTGTCGGTCTCTTCTCCCAAGTAACTAGCGATAGGACGAGAGGAAATGGCCTCAAGTTGCGCCAGGGGAGGTTCAGATTGGACGTGAGGAAAAATTTCTTTACTGAAAGAGTGGTGAAACATTGGA